ATTCTTAGCCAACATGCCACTGCCGGAGGTATTTTTTATGGTACTTAAACAAAACATCATAAGAAGAGAACGTCGTAGAAGATATTGAGTCAGTGGTATCACTGTCTGCCAGACATGTGTATTCGAATGATAGCATTCGGCAGGTTCAGGTTCAAATGCAGTCAACGCAGCGATAAAATAGACGACACTTTAGTTGGTTAAGGTATGTGTTGAAAGATACACACACCAAGGTTAAAACCCTTGAATTACAAGTAGCCAACCGGCTTACAACCACTGCTGATCAAATAACAGCTTCCCCGAAAAATCCCATCGAAAAGCCCCTAGACTGCAAGGAGGACTTTCTTAAGTTAAACCAGGATCTGCTTGATTACAAGCAGCAGCTGGTAAATTGCATTCATTGTATTAATGCGCGCCTTTAGGTACATTTCCTCGGATGCGTTGGAGGACGCGATGTTGAGGACTTCCTCTAACGTGTTTTCCAAGTCCTCTTCGACGACATTATATTTATCTATGTTAACACCAGAGGGATGAAGACAAAGGAGGCCATCTACGGCACGCCACTGTATGAAATTATTACAGATATTCAGTTTCACATCCATTAACTGTTTACTACATAGACGCTCACAAGATGGGAGAATGGCGCGTTTTAGGCGAACATTGGGCGCCTTGCGTAAAAAACGACAGAAAGAGCATTCGCTAATCACTTCAGATGGTAGACTATATTTAATATCCCACTTCCATATTGTATCATTTTAGACGAAGAACAAGAACCTGGCCCATCGCGTCCCTCAAACAAATCACGCGGCACCAGTCCATGGACTAGTTGTACAGATTTTTTTAAATAGAAAATAACGAAAATGACAAGACATTGGCCTACATTTTACTGTAGTTGGATTAGTTCATTACCGCGGAGGGAAGATGAGTGCATGCAACGAACGCATGATCGCGAGCACGACTCAAATGTAGGGCTCCGATACCCTTATAGAGGCATAGCACCGTATCACGACGTTTTTGGTGTGGAATCCATGCCGACCAAATGACCAAAATCCGCTATGAAATCCGGCACATTATAACGACTTTTCCGGCCGGATTTCATGATGGATTCCGGGAGGACTTGCATCGATACGATTTTCTCTGACTAAACATTGCAGGGTCTTAAAAACTATCAAGATAACTTACATTTGAAAACCAAAAGATAAACAAAACGTTACTAGTAAATAAATATACGAATATATTTACGCATATATTCTAGAAAATACATTGGACTCTATAATAGTAAGAAGACCAATAGAAAATACTCGTATTATTTAAGTTATCCCTTTTAACCAGTGCGATTTTTGCAGGCGATCCTCGAGAAGTGTATCCATAAACCTCTAGTGAACTTGTTGCGCCTTCCACCTTCGGCGCCACGCTACGCATAAGGTTACGAGATTGCAGTTCTCGGCCCACCCCTGGGACAGCCAATCACACGTGCCGCAAACTGCACCAATGCTGAACCACTCACGCTGGCTAACCAGTGCGCATGTACCAAGATGTCTACACCAAGCCGGTCTGGCCAATGATTTTTCGGTGACTGACACACACAGCACCTCACTGCGACGACTGCTTCGCTCACACACTTCGAATGTCACCCCTCTCGGGAACGGAAGCACGTTCGTCCAACAATCAGATCCCTTCTACCTATTCTTCACTACCTCTGTACAGAATACACTATTCCTCCCATCTGGCGTCTCACTCTTTTTCCCATACGGAACCGGACATGAAGACCGCAGCCGCGAAGGTTTTACCTATTAGCTTAACTCACTGCGATATGCCGATATTCTGGCATGTCTGACATTTCCTGGGACTATGCCGCACTAATATAACCATCTTAAGTAATCCTTCCTACTCGAAGGCGTAGTTCGCAATCTTGACTGAATACGAGCCTGGCAATAACAGGAAGTTCTGAGCTGGTAGGACAGTTTTATTTCTAAAAATTTACAATAAGACTGAGTGGATTTTCTTAGATAAAGGGAATATTGGAAAAGCGTCATCTGGGGCGGGAAAGAAATTCAACTAACCGGATAGATTAGATGGCGATGAACAGAAGTAACTTGCCAGAGCACTGGGAACCAGAGACTATATAAAAAAGGAACCTGTATTTGCAGCACGCCGATGGATTTTTTAACGCAGTAGGACTGACAGTGTGGAGGACGCTGCGCCGAACTCGCTAGCACAGTGCAACTGTAGGTAGTTTAGCAGCGAACTTCCGTTGCTGACTGCTGAACAATAATGTGGCAGAAAAGCTGAAGGCAGAACAGTAGTCCGCTTTTGAATGACTGCCTGGGGACAGAATCGCACCGTGTGAGCTGCGTCGCCGGTCGCTGAACAGATGGGACAAACGATGTTCCGTAGGATGGGACATGTTACGCGGCCATCTCGATCCTTAACCTACACAAGCAAAATGATGTTAAGTGTTATCTGGACGCACACAACGTTTTACACCTTAGAAGCAGTACCGCGAAAACAGACGAGTGAGATGGTTCACATAGTGCTGCTCACCCTGTGACTCGAGTAGATCTCGAAGGTCTCATGATTATTTCGACAAAACACGCAAATCGCCTGAGTGGCCTCATCCAGACGACGAATTTCTTTAACAACACGTTTGAGGAACTGAAGAAGTTGATTTAGCAGCAGGTCGTCCAGCTTCACTGACCCTGCTGCTGCGTATTTCAACCTGCAGAAGAAACAGTAAGGATAGACACTCATCAATGAACTTCACCGATCGCCGTCTTTACCGGCAATGTTATCAGAGTAAGGATAGGTGGTGCAGGCCTCCTCGATTTAATACGTATAACTACCTGCTTTAGTTGTTAACGTAGGTCTGGCCTTCTTTATTAGCTTGTAGCTTCACTTCCCGCATTTGAGCCTCCATTGCACTTCAGGGCGGTTTCTGTTGTTGAAGGCGTACGCTGTCATTAAACTAGTTTGGTGTCTTGCCGATACTCAGCGTACAATGCATGCTCTAAGGATCGTCAGCGGTGCCTCCTTGACTGCGGGAAGGAAATCTCTGATTCATACTTTGTTCTTATGGAGAGGTTGAGACATTTATGGTCCACGTACTATCATTCTACCTATGATCGTTGGGGATTACCAGGGAGAATTGGCTCATCAGATTTAATATTATTTGCTTAGATACTCTATAATTGAATAATTATATTAATCAATATATATATTTAATGATAAGGCAACAGTAGGCATCGTAATGCAAGTAAGGTACCCCTAGTCTCAGAACTCCACCTTACTGGACAGATGGTAGTGGGGGTTTTGTAGGAGGGGAATAAAAGGGGACAGTACGACATGCCGAGAATAGTGGATAAAAATATTAGGCAAACATTCCGTTGGTAGCGGACCTTATACACCCCTAGCCTCAGCATTCTGTCTTACGGGACCGGTGGTAATAGAGTTTTTATAGGTGTTCATGTCACTGGAGAGAAAAAAACAAATTAAAAAGTAGGGCGTTTAAAATCAGACAATAATAGGAACAATAATTCAAATAAACTAATGTTTGGCGCGCGATAATTACAATGAGAAATACAACCAATAGGTAACAAGAACTGCGCAAAATTACCCGCAAATAGAAAAACACTAATATCGACTCTATACTGAAACGCATTGATAAAAATTAAATCATAAAAGATAGGCTTACCACCTTTTTTGGAAATCACGATAGCTTCTAATGCATTTAGGCAAATATTGTAGTACGAGAAGCCGAAAAGCAACCGCACGTCGCTTTAAAAATTAAAGTAAATAAAAAACTAAACGATAAACTGAACTAAAACTAATAAGTTCTTTGAATATTCCATGATTAATTTGGAAAGTTACTTTATTAGGTAAACACGTCTTTGGCAATTCTTCGTCAGACCATTAACTTTGCAAAAAACTGAAAGTTTGGACGTGTAGAAAAATCAATTGTCTGACTCGGGCGCCGATCGGCCACTGCGGATTATGTCAGTCTGCGCAAGTAGGTGAGATCGGCGTATTGGGTGAGCGATTGCCACCAGTGGGTGGGGCGATGTGCAATCGTCACTTGGCGTCGGCGTCGGCCACGGAAGAGACAGGGTTTGTGTTAGTTTTCTAACAGCACAGCACTGGATTCATTAGGCGTATAGCCACTGCTTCCGCTGTTGCCAACACCCGTTTGCGTAGGCCTTTGGAGAAGTTGGTTGATGTCCGGCAGACAACCTGAGAAGCTTCGCTAGTATCGAATCGGTGATTCGTATCGACAAGGTGTACGAGGATGGAGCTCGAGACCTGCAGCTATTGGGGTTCTGCTTCGACAGTTTCAGGAGAGCAGATCCGTCCTACTCCAGCAGCTTATCCCTGGACTAGATTTCGTTTTATGTTTAGGGGAGTAAAACTGTGAAAATTGGTGTGTTGTCCCGTGTAAGTTTTCTTTTGGAATACTCTACACAGGATCGATCCACCACTTGCCTTCGAAGAAGGACATCAAGGAATGCAATTTCCTTATCAACCTCAGTCTCTGAAGAAAACCTGAGCGATGGATGCACGCTGTTTAACTTGCTGACCATGGCCTCACTGTCAGTGTTGTAGTCTGTCAGACAGAAGATATCATCCACATATCGACCGTAAAATTCAAGGTCATTGATAGTCTCTCTTAGACCATCATCAATGACCTTGCATTTTACGGTTTATATGTGGACGATACCTTCTAAAACTAATAAGATTAAATGCAACCAAGAAAGCTAAAGATTTTCGTGTCGGGGGGATACAGTTATAAACAAAAATACTTTTACCGAAGCCCATGTAGTAGGAATTGAAGTATGGTTTGAAAATAATCTGCCATCAAGGTGACGCCCGCAAAGTATTAAAACTTAATACATACAACGGAAAAAATGCCCGATATTGGAAAAATAGGCAAGCAAGCAAACTAACAACCTTGGGAACACCTGCCCCGTGAAGCCCCGTCAACAATGTGGGAATGGAAGGGGCTGGACTGGGCAGCAGAAATTTAAGTATTTCTAAAGCACATAAAAAAAGAAAATAGGCTATTGTTTAAAATTAAATTTTCGATACAAAAAATGAATTTATTTAGATTCACTAATGCTATGCATTTGTCCTGAAAGAATAGATTTTTAACATGCACGGTAATTAAGTAATAGCCTGGTTGTGGCGGACAGCCGGCAATGTAATCCGACTTCCTAGAGCAATGCCTACTGCCCCAACGTCAGGCTAACCGAAAGATGCTCTGCTAAAGCTCGGCGGTCCCCCAGGCTTGAACTAGCATCTGCTTCATTGTCCCCTTTCTGGTTAAAGGATAACAGCTGCTTCTGTGTCCCCTTCCTCCGGCATCCTGACGGCTGACGCAATCCCGCTGACTAACATGCGTTCCGCCGAAGCACGGCGGTCCTTACAGTTGACCTCAGCGTAGTCACAGTTACACGTGCACGTGCGCAAACACGCGTGCCCAAATAGTCGCGGTGACAATAGACAGTGCATAATATATTATCTATATTGATTTCATGCCAATGAATAAAGCAAAGAAGAGGATAACAAAAAGTAAAAGCGTTGTATAAGTTGATATGAGGCAACAACCAATTTTTTTAAATTCAGACGACGTGATATGACTATGCTAATGCCTATTAAAGTTTAAAAACGCACATTTTTGTATAATATGTAGCAGGAGGTATGAAAGAGACACTGTTGGCACTGTGTGGGGGTGCAATGGCGTATGTCGAATAAGTTATCAAAGTGGATTACGGGTTCTGTACACTTTGTATTTCCTGTAATCGAAAAGTAATAGCAGGCCACTAGAGATTTCCATGTGTGGGACACAACAAACTTGAGGCTAAGCAAACCGGTACGACAAATTGTACCAAACGTCGGCTATGGGATACAAAGAAATGAGTCCACTTATGGTGAAATGCGATCCCAATGAAATAAATAAGAATACAGTTCTGCGAATCCTGCAAACAAAATTCAGGGCGAAATTAAACTTGT